CTCAGTCCAGCCCTCTCCTTCTGCCCCTGGTGGCTTGGCAGGCAGGCTCCCTCCATCTGGCCTCTGGCTCTGTGGAAGAGATTTTCCCAGGTAAGGAAATGCTCACGCACCCTCTCCTGTCTTAGATGAGGAAACTGAGGCCCCCCACTCTGGCACAGTGGGCTGCAGATACAGCTGGGAGCAGCATCCCAGGCTCTGAGCAGCACAGTCTTCCAAGTCTCTAAGGCCTGCAGGCCCCGCTCCCAGCGCTTCCCTCTGCTGAGCCCAGGGCGACCTCTGGGGTATCTTGCCCTCCAGACCAGGGAGGGGGTGAGCCCAGGCAGGGGGCCCTCGAATCCTGTCCTCCATCCCTGCTCTGTACGGTGCTGGCTGGTGCCAGCTAACCACACCTCCTTTGCTGCCCTTATTTTGAAAGGCTTAGCAGATGCTTTTTAGTGTTAAAACAGAATTTCAGTTGCACCCACCTCCAAACAGCATCAGCCCCTCTATCTGGCTTCGTCCACATAAAGAGAGGATACTTTCCTCATCTCATTCTCGCTCCCAGGGATGTGTGGTGCAGGAATAATCCCATCCCATGGGAGGAGGTAGAGGCTCAGGGAGGGTCAGACAGGTAGCAAGGCCTTGTGTTAATGGGGGGTGGGTGGCCTGGCAGAGTGAGCTCTTTAATAAGCATTTAAGTGAATTGTTAAATACTTGAATAATAAAAATGGCTTCCTATTTTCAAATAAAAAATAAAAAAGCCCTTGTTATTGCCTGCTCTGAGTGATTAGCATGATTAACTGTAATGACTCATTTCCTCCTCGGAAACATCCTATTATTACCCTCATTTTAAAATTGGGAAGTCTGAAGCCCAGAGAGGTTAAGCAACGACTCGAGGCCACACAGCTATCAAGCGGCAGAACTGGGATCTGAGTATGGTCCTGCACTTGGCCACCCTGCCAAACCAGCCGGGCAGGCTCAGGTCCACAACACTCTGTCCACTAGAACTTTCCGTGCTATCGGGAACGTTCTGTATCTGTGCCGCCCAAGATGGCAGCCTCTAGCCACATGTGGCTGTTTCGTACTTGAAATGTGGCCAATGTGACTGAGGAGCTGCTCACGGTGGGGAGGGAAGTGGCCCCCGCCGCCCTGCGTTGGCCTCTAATAGTTTCTGGATGACAGCCGAATGAGTAGCCCAGAATCCAAAGACAGACTCATGGTCTCAGAGGCCAGGCAGCTCACCTGCCCTAGACAGAGGAAGCAAGATGGGCAGCGGGGAAGGAGAGAACCCCGGCCCACACAGCCAGCCGGAGGACAGGCAGAGCCAGGCCTCCAACTACAGGGCCGCTGCACTCCCCACGCTGCGCCTCCGTGTCTCCGCTCCTCATCCCGCTTGCTGTTCTTCCTGTGAGCAGATAGCTGGCTCACATTTCCCACATATGAGAAGAGAGAGCTCCTGCCATGGATCTGAAGACTGAGCCATGGAACCCACAGCCCCCTGGGCAGGGTTAGTCCTCAAATCCAGTCAACTCTTGATCCAGACTTATATTCTCCACTTTTGGGCTTATCAGTGGCAAAGCCTTAATCCCTACCAGGCACTTGGCACGGAGGCTGCCTCTGCCCTACTGTCAGCTGGTGTGCGCGCAGGGAGCGCAGGCTCATTTTAATATTGGCTGGAGCTAAACCTCATTAGAAAAGTAAATTTGCTGTAGCTGCAAAAAAAAAAAAAAAAAAAAAAAAAAAAAAAAAAAAAAAAAAAAAAAAAAAAAAAAAAAAAAAAAAAAAAAAAAAAAAAAAGAAAAGAAAGGAAAAGAAAAAACCCACATAACCCTTCCAATGCTAACCAGAAAACGCTAGATTTGGATTTCTGGGTTATTTGATGTGTTATGCTCCCAGCACCTGGTGCAGAGCCTCCAGCACAATAAATGCTTGGTCAGTGTTGGTGCAAGTGAACTGAATTTTGGGGGACCTCTGACCGCCTTTCAGCATGGATAAGAAGGGCTCACAGATATGAAATTTTTGTGTTTCATGATTTTTTTTAGATGACCATGCTGAAAAATTGGAAGGATGCGATTTAACACTAATTAGACATGAAAACATTATTTTGTGTTTGGCAAGGACGAACTCTGAGCTGAGGCATGCTCTGGGATCTCTGGGTCGGGATAAGGAAGGGTGGGTTCAGCCCAGAGTCTGGAGGTATGATGACCCAAGAGGATGAGGAGGGAGGCGGGACACACTGCCCGATTCCAGTGGGATTGGCTCCAGGGTTGGCCTGACACTGCTACTCCAAATTCTAGAGACATCCTGATCCCGGAAGAAAGGGGGTGAAAGTGTATAAAATACATAGATTAAATTAAAATCTATCTAATATTTCTTCTAAAAACTGGTGAGATGACAGTTTCCTGATTTATAGTTCCTCAGGAAGCTGGGGTTTAGAGAGCTCTTTTTCCAAAGTCTACTCGGCTAGCCACAGATGGAGCTGAGATTGGACCTCATACAGCCTGGCTGAGGGCCTGTCCCCAGTGCACTTCTTCCATGTCCCCTGGTTAGTCTTCAGCAGGGTCCTCAAAGGTCTTTTTGCCTGGAGGCCTGGGGAGGGGGTGCATGCCTTGTCTTCTTCTCCCTGAGTGCCAGGTTTCCCCATCCCCACACCCTTTGCCACTGCCCTGCATTCCAGGACCAGAAGGGTTACGGCAGGGGCCAGAAGATGGTGAAGAGCCCTCAGCACTGGGAGATCATCAGTGGCCAAAGTATGTCCCTGAAAGTCCTTGCAAGCTCTTGGTGCACTTGACCTCATAGCCTGTCCTCCCTCTGCCTTTGGGCTTCTCTCTAAGAGACCCTTACATTCATCAGAGCCATGGGAAAGCACCTTCCTCATAGAATGTCCAACTGCTCCACTGAGGGGCCTCCTGCAGGGGTGGACAATTGCTGAGGTCAATGTGGGGGAACGGGGGAGGCCCCCATCCCACCCCAACTCACCACTCGGCACGCCCTGACTTTCGCCTGTGTGCCTCCCTCTGCCGTCCGCCAGTGCGCCTCCGTGCCTTTGTCTCTTATCTCACTGCCTCCTTCTCTGCCTGTGTCAGGCTTTCTCTCTGATTCCTTCTCCTCCTGGGCCCCTTCCTCTCCTCCCCTCCATTCTCAGAAGAGAGGAGCAACATCCCTCTCTTCCAGACACAATGGAGCCCCCCATGCTCCTGTCCGCTCAGCCTTTCAGTCAGCACATCCTCTTCCACATCTCACTCCCACCTCCCAGCCTGCCTCATCACCCTGAGCTCCACAACTAGGAAAAGTACATCTGACTTGGTCCCCTCACTCCCGAGAAACCACTATGAGAACCTCCAGGTCTCTCCAGAAGCCTGAGCCGGGAAACTGGGCTTGCCCCTGGGCATCCTCCTGTGAAGCTCCTTGGTCTCTGCCACGGGTGCCAATCCTGTTGCTGGAGCTGATCTGCTCAGGGATTTACCTGCCCTTGCTTCTGGTGGAACAGTGAGTACCTGCTCAACCAGAAACCTGGACCTGTGGTGATCCCCAAGCACCTTGGGGTCAGGCACAGAAACAGGAACAGCAAGCTCCTGGCTCCAGTGTTGAATGGGGCACAGATGCATTAATTCTCCCAGTCCCGTAAACCTCAACAAGCATTTCCATTTCCATCAAAAGGGGCAGAGGGAAAATGTCACAAAGATCCAGAACCTTTGGCAGTGCCAGGCATGAAGTGGGCAGAGTGAGAAGTCTGTTTGAAGACCCTAGGAAAGGGTATTCACCCCATGGAAGAAAGGGAAGCCTTGATGTTTGCTCCAGTAAGGTCACTAATGGTTACCAGCTGAGCAGGCTCTGGGAGGAAATGTCTCAATCTCTGTAGTGGCTACCAAGCAGAGGTAGGGAAACATCATCACAGGAGACAAATCCTAGAAAACCCTAGAACAACATGCCCCACAGCCCTAGTAACTTAGGGAGTGGTGCGCCTCCCATTTCTGCAAGAACACATCCAGGCATTGCACAGTGCTAGGCACTAGGACGTCTGCACCCCATCATTTTCAACAGTGCATGCTACACAGCCCAAGCTCTAGGACCCACTGGGCACCCCACCCACACAGGCGCCCATGCACCCGGCTAGCCGCTGTCAGTAAAAAACCCCCTTTACAGTCCTGTACATTAGAAACCTATGGAGTCCTTCAGTTCCAGCTTCTACAAGAATCCATGCAGCTAGGCCTGACTGGGGGAAGAAGGCCACAGGGAAGTGGGCCAAGGCTCCCATGTGTGTGCATGTGGGGGTGGTTCTTGACCTTAGCTGCTTGGTATGGGGCTGTCGCCTCTTTTCCCTGGCACTGTCGGACCCGGTGGCTTCCTTCTCTACTTCCTGCCTCAACTCTCAGCTTCCTTTTTCTGGAAGTTGTGTGCTCTGACTTTGTAGGGATTGGGACCTCAGATCTGAGACCAGGCGCAGGTGGGAGGGTGGTGAGCTGGTCGCGCCTCTTTCCTCCTTGCTACACCGAAGGTCCCAAAGGCCGCTCGCCACCCTGGTCATCCCTGCGTCCCTCAGCATGCCCCGCAGAGCTCAGGCCCCCTGAAGAGAGTTAACTTGGCAGTGCCCAGGAGCCGCAGAGTGATCCAGAGAGGGCTGGTGGGCAGCAGGGGTGAGGGAGGTGGGGGACGACTGACCCCTGACTCCTTATCCGGCCACCAGAAACCACCTGCTGAGGGGCCCAGGAACTGACAGCGAAGAGCCCGGGCCAATTGTTAGAAGCTGCTGAGAACCAGCTCTTCCCGTAATCCCGGTCGAAAAGGGCAGTGGGTGCCGGGTTTTGTTTCGGAGCCCCTAGGCAGCAGCGCCTCCCGGCCTCAGCTCGGTTCTCGGCCCCCTTTCCAGTTGCCCCTAGCGCGCGCAGCGCACACACACACACACACACACACACACGCCCCAGCGCGCGCCCGGGAGGACATGGCGTGGGCACCGATGGGGACGCAGAAAGGGGCTCTGTGCGCGGCGGGGCGCCCGCGGGGGCGCGCGGAGCACTGACCTGCGGCGACGAGTCCGGAGCTTCCCCGGCGCGGTCCATCGCGGGCGGCGGCCCCTACGCCCCGGCCCTGGCGCCCCTAGGCTGCAGCCCTGGGCCGCGCGCGCCTCCCTCCCCGGGAACTCTCGGGCTGCGGGCCCCCGGGGGCCACTTCATAGCCTCGGGGTCCGCGCGCCCGCCCGCCCGCCCGCAGCCCCGCCCGGCCCCGCCGCCCCTGCCCGGCTCGTTCTGGGCTCAGCGAGGCGGCGGCCGAAGGCTGGGAGCGCGCGGGAGGGAGGGCGCGGGCAGGGAGGCGGGGGGCGGGGAGCGGGGAGGGCGCCGCGGGGAGCACGCGCGGGGGTTGGAGGGGCGCGGGGCGAACGAGGCGCGCGGCCGGAGTCGATCCGACCCGGCCGGCGCAGAGTCCCCTCGGTGGCGGCGGATGCGCCGGTGCCGCCGCTGCTGTGCCAGCGCCTCCCGCCCCGCCCCCACCCGCTCTCCGCCCCCGCCCCGCCCCCGCCCCGAGCCCGCGCCAGCGCCGGCGGGACCCGAGCTGCTAATGGTCGGTACCAACCTCGCCAGCCGAGGCGGGGGCGCGAGGAGGGAGGCCGGCGAGGGGACCCCCCCAGGGATTGGTATCACCTCCCCACCGCCCCCCACCCTCCCCCGGCACCCTCCCTTGCGGAGGCGACTCCTGCTTCGGGCGCGGGAGCTGGGGTGGCGGGCAGGGGCCGAAAGCACCCCCGGATCTCGGCTCTCGAGAGTTAAAGCTCGGCCCCCGCCTGCACCCCCATTCCACCCCGCCTCCATCCTGGCTGCTCCTGGCTCCCAGCTTGGCAGTCTCTCTCAAAGGGTGATTGTTTCCGGCCGGGCTGCTGCGGGAGGGTGGGGGGACGGTTCCCTGGGACCAAGGGGCCGAGCTGGGGAGCCGGTGGGGGATACGGCTTCCTCCTTGGCTTCAGGCACCCCGGATGGAAGGTGGCTGGTGGGGGCGGGCGGTGCCGTGCCAGGATACGGTGTGCTCGGTGTGCTAGTAAGGGGTGGTCGCGGGGGTCCTCAGGCGGCTGCCATAGGACGGCCCCACCTGTGGGCCCTGCTGCCCCTTGGAAGCAGGCGCGCGTCAGCCTCACCCCCAACCTCCCCTTCAGGGCCAGTGCACCGGGCATTCCAGAGAGAGAGCCAGGAGGCCTGCGTGGGCTCAGAGGCGCGGGGAGGCCGGGGGCAGCGGGCTCTCCAGGAATTTCCCGGGCCTCCGCTGCGATGTGTTTGTGGGCAGGGGACGGAGGCCAGTGAGTAGGCGCGCGCTTGGATGTTTGTGGGCGCATTGGTAAGGTGGCCTGAAGCCCTCTATGGAGCTGTTTCCAGATACTCCTTCGTCAGCCTGGGGGAGACTTGGAAGCCATCCTTGCACTCATTTTAGAGGTTGGCATCTCCCGGTGTTCCTGGACACCTGGCCACACCCGCCCTGTCTTCTTCACAGCCCCAGGAGGAGGCCAACTCCCAGGGTGGGGTTCGCGGCGGGACCAGGGACTGTTGGTACCTTCTCCAGGGTCTTCCTTTTTCCCTGCCCTGGAAACCAGTTCCAGCCCCACGGCTAGGCACTGCTTAACCACAGCTGTGTCCCGTACTTCGGGCCGGGGCTGAGGACCACGGAACTATTTTTTATCAGTTTTTCTTCCCTGTCAGGACAGAGCCCGGCCCTGCTCTCCCCACTGAGGATGTGCAGGTGGGGTGGGGGCAAAGGCTGCAGACTCAGCCACTTTGGTCAAGACCTTGAGGGGTGGAAGGCACCTCACCTCACCGTGCACATCATCACAGACAGGTGAAAGTATCCTTAATGACTGTCTCTAGGGATAGCTGCCCCTTCTTGTCCTGCGCTGGAAACTTCCTCTGAATCTAACCTGAGTACCTCCTGCTGCAGTACAGGAGCATTTCCTCCTTCTCCTAATGAGTAGAATCCCAGCCAGTGCTGCTCAGCCTTCTTCTGCCCCTACTACAGCTCTCTCCTTTAGACTCTGCTAAGAGGCCTTTCCTGAGTCGGTGTTCTCCTGGTATTTTCCTTGACTCCATACTCTGCTTCTCCTTAGACTCCACACCAGCTGAGGGGCAGGTGCAGCAGCAGGATGGTGGGGCAGGGGGTACCAGAGAGCATGGAGGAGTGGCCAGGCCCGTCCGGAGGGCACATTGCCTCCCTCCTCTGCTGAGCCAGCCGGCTGCAGCGACATAATCACCAAATGGAGGACAGAATGACCATGAAGACTGTCTCTTTTTACCAATAGGGAAACAAACCCACTGGGGTGAGCTCAGGAGACCTCGGAAACATGGCAATGAGGAGGCCTAGATTTCAGGCGGGTTCTGAAGGCACTAGCAAAAGACCTCCCCCTCGGCCGGTCTTTTCAGTAATAAAACAGGGGGTTAGACTAACTGGGCTCTAGTCCGCCTGGTCCTGCTGGGCTGTGGCTCAGGGATGTTGTCTGCGGGGGTTCTTGGCTTTCCCTCAACATTCTGGCAGGAACAATTGTAATAATAAAGCCTCTTTCTAGGGACCTGTCTTGCATGTTAGTCCCAGGCTGTGTTTACAGAATTTTTAATATTAATTTTTAGAGCCAATTTAAAACAATAATAGGACATTAAAATTAGCATGATAAGGCTCAGTGAAGAGACAACAGCCTGCCATTCATTTTGGTGGGAAGTTTTGGCAACATCCCGTGTATGGACACACACACACACACATGCACTGATGTCTATGTAGGCACAAAACATGCACATAGAGGCAGCTACACATGCAAATGCGCCAACATGAACACACACGCACTCTAAAGCGCCTCATAGGCACATAGAAATGCTTGCACATGGACGCTTCTGCTTGATGCCCTTGACCTCATAGCACCTGCACGCACACAGACACACGCGTACACACACCATGCCCCCAGGTCAGCCACGCTCCCAGCCCTGTCTTCCTGCTTGGCCTCTGCAGGGTCTGTGGAAATTCTTCCCTCCCATGTCTGGACATGGTGCATCCCCCGAGCTTGGCCCTTGCTCCAAACATCTGGAGCACTTCCATGTCTCCCTGAATGATTGATCTTCCCCTCCACCTGCCTTCCCTGCCAGTAGTGAGCCCCTCTTCTCAGAGGCCCCCAAAGCCTGGCACCAGCATGTTTAGTATGCAAAGCTGGGGTCTGTCCTCTGGGACAAACCGTTATGTGTTTATTGTGTAGTTAAGCAGGATGGGAGCCCTGCCCCCGCTCTGGTCCTGGCCCAGTTCCCATAATCTGAATCCCAGAAGAGTCCCGTAAAACCATCATTTGCAATGCAAAATCCGCCAAACATCTGGGAGGGTCTGTAGGTTTTCTCCAAATCACCTGTGCCCTAATTTAATATGAATAACAATTAGTTTACTCTTATCAGTTAATTGTTCCCCTTGTGGGTTCTGTCTGCCCTGCCCTTTCTTTCAGCAGGAGCTTTGGTCTGCTGCAGACTTCTAATGATGCTGCCTTTTCAGCCCAGCCATCCTTCTCAGCTACCACCCCAGAGAGGCAACGCAGCTGTGCTGCTCGCTGCCCTCACCCCCAGGGCCCCAGGCCCTCACCCTGCCCATCTTAGTCTTAGCCAGTCTAATTGCCGAGGGCCATCCAATCTCCCCTTGCCTTCGCCAGGAATCTATAGCAGTGATTTTGCTGATGTGAGTGAAAAGGTCCCAGTGGGATTCTTCAGCAAGGAGTCCCACCCCACACAATGTCGTTGCCCTGGCAAGGATGACAGCACGTGCACACAAGTGTGCACGCCCAGGTACCGCCAGATCGCTGGGGGAGTGAGAGGAGGAAGAGCTGCCCTCTGCCTCGGCAGGCAGGGTGAGTTCCCCAGGGACCCAGCCATGCTTTGCGGTGTCTGCCAGCCATGTCTGAAATGTTCCCACAGTGGCTCCTGGCTGGATGTGTGTAGATGTGCTCTTTTGGGTGCTGGAGCTCATGGCCCAGATAGAGAAAGGGGAGGAGACCTTTTAACTCTTCCGTTTCATTAGGAGGTTTCTGGTCTGAGCTTTGGATCTTGAACACCCCTGTTTTCTATAAAAAGTTGAAAATTGTCATGTGGTCAACAGGTTCCCCGCTGCCCTCCCTTCTTCTCAGAAGCCAGGGCAGCATCTTTCCTGAGCTGGTGCAAGAAGGCTGACTCCTGCTCCGCTCCAGTCTCTACCTCCAGGGCAAGGGTGCAGTTGCAGGGCTTTAGAACACTTCAGTCATGTCATTTTGTTTTACTTTCTTTTTTCTGTGGCTGAGGGACATGTGAGAGGTGATGGGAGCAGAGCCCTGAGACTTAGGGGAGCATCTCTGAGGCTAAGCTGGGACCATTCTCGGTCCTCTTGCAGAAGTGAGCATAACCCAGATTGCCCCTTGATCTCCCCACTACCCCCTAATTACTCTGCAGAGCCCATGCCTCCCAAGTCCCTGAAGCCTTTCCCAACCTGAGCTCTGTGGCTCGTGCTGGCTCCCACAGCCCCCATGACCCTCAGGCACCTCTGGCAGTGAAACTGCTCTTCCCCTCAGTTCCATAGCACTTTATCCAGACATGTCTGGAGGCTCTCACCTATCTGTGCATAATGAATTCAGACTTACCACAGTGGCTTTCCTGTATTCAACTAGTATTTGCTGAGCTCCAGTCATATGGCAGGCACTGTGCCGGGCACCAGAGACACAGCAGTAAACGAAGGCAATTAGGAGGCTTAACTTCGATTAGGCCCTTTGTATGGATGCACCAGGTCAGGTCCCAGATCTTTATGTGCATTAGCTAATTTCATGGTAAGGTGTTATTTATGGCTACTGTTTGTGACAAGGTTCGATTATAGTTTCCATTTATAGGTCAGGAATCTGGGGCGTAGTATTTAGGTAATTTAATTAAGGTCACATGCCTAGTAAGTGACATAGCCAGCATTTGAGGTAGGCAGCCTAGTTCCAGGACTCAGGCTCATAATCAGAACATACCTCAGGGATTATATGCTAGTGGTCCATAGGTGGACAAGTGCACAGAACGAACAGAGGTGGAGGAGATACAGGAAGGAAAGAAATAGGGTCACGAGCTAGAGAGAGACCTGGGAGGGCAGGAGCAGGGAGAGGCTCTTTTAGATGGCCATGTTTGAGCTGAAACCTGGGGGAATACGGGCCAGGCGAGGACAGCAATAGGCGAGTTGAGGGGTCGGCAGGAGGCTTGGTGCACTTGAGGAACAAACACAACAAGTGAGGCTGCAGAGCAGAGAGCAAGGAGAGAGCCATGGGGAGCAGCAAGGACACTCTCTGCTTGGAGTCTGAGGATTCGTGTGCATGAGTGACCTCTTGCACTAGTGTCTTCTAGCGAGTAGCTGTTCAATAAATATGATGGATGGAGTCGTTTAATTTCCTGCCCAAACTCCCCTCCATGGCTGGGGTGATGAGCAAACATCCTAGACCTTTGGGTGTTAGTAGAGC